CACTTTACAGTGCTGCCATTTAATTGGAAAAAATACTGGTGGTTTAGTAGATTTTTTAATAATGGTAATTATTTGACTTAAGTGTCGTAAGTCTCGTTATTCTGGAGAGACTGGAGGTAGCAGTCTCGAGTTTCGAAAATTCTAAAAATGGAAAGCCTTACTATATACTATATGCCCTAGCCTAATTAATGATATAACTTTGTATGTATTTATATAAAATAAATATACGTCATAATTATTACAGTACATAAACTTTTGTGCCAAATGAGTTTGAAAATAGAAGTATATGAAATTATGATATATTTTTATATTTTTTTTTATCTTTTTCATTTAACCTAATGGTACTTGCGTAATGGTTGGCGATTTTTTTAATATTGTACTACAAGTTTTGTATTTGTACTTTGCGTTTGACCAATGTAAACAATGCTGTTTTAAATAATGAGTTTGTGATTTTAATTGTACTGACTGCGAATATTTAATTTCTGTTTGCAAATTCATATTTGAAGTGGTGTTAGCTATTGTTATATTTTTTAATATTTTCGTCATAAACTTAACTTTTTTGGCCGTATTTAGTTATATATTTTTTAAAAGTTGTTATATGTGAGGCTAAAGTGATTAAAAACAAGTGTCATCTCCGATATGAGTAATATAGATGTACACAGATTAAAAGGACACACCCCTGATCTGCTTTATATTATTGTGTCATGATCATTCAGCGTGATTTGCTTAGTTTATCGTTTGACTACTAATTAATTATATACTTAAAATTGTAATATTGCGTTGATAATTTTTGATATATTGAGGTTTGTTTATATTTTAATTTGATTTCATAAGTAACCTATGATATTATAATAGGTATTTAAATTGGCTTTCCGTATAAAAAGAACACATCATTGTTACTAATTTAAGTGCTTATCTCTTAATAGCAAACATACATTTAGTTTTAGTATAACTTCATGGTCATATTATTTTATCAAGTTATAACTTAGCGTGTACGAGCGAAAAATCTATTTGATTTGAATTGAAATAAACATAGATATTTATTATAAAAAATAATGTAATACATATTTATAATATACGACCACCACGTTACAATGTATTAATTAGGGATATCGTGTTTTAATGACAACCTATTGTGTAATATAATATAAGAAATACAAGCATTTTACAAATTCTTGCATCGTAAGAGAGATTGGCGCTTAATATAACATTTTGTTGTGGTTAATGTATTCGATGGCTTTGAGTCGCACTGAGGTAAGGAGGGGAAAGGCGCGGCGGTGTAGAGATTGTACGTGCGCGCGCGCACTCAGTTGTAGCGGGTCTCGCGCCGCGTTTGTTGGTTTTTAACCCGTGACAATAATTTCAATTCGAGAAGCACATTTCGGGCGTTCGCGCTCGGCTCGCAACCTATGCCTGCCACCGTCTATGCGCCTTTTGGACGCCGTTAGAATGAAGTACCACTATCGCTGCATCTGGAATAAGGAGATAGTGTTCAATTCACAAAAACTTGTTAAGAGACGTTAGGTTTTAGTGCCCGATCCCTAGATTTCAACGACGATTATTGCTCGCAACACGAGGACTTCAGTTTTTGCAATAGTACTGCCTAGTTTATGTAAAGTTAGAACTGTATTATAGCAGTAAGAACATTATTAGAGGACAATTAATTGTTAATAAATTTTGGACTTCGTGATGGCACTTGCTCATCTATATGCTGGTACGTTGTTCGTCGAAATGTTTCAATGTTAGATTGTTTGTTTTGATTATGTCCTTTCACAGTTTGTGTTTGAGATTTGATCTCAAGGTCTTTACGCTCTAATTCTCCCAATTTTCTTTTAATAAAATGTAATTATTGCTTATTACGGCAATAAATATAAATCTAGGTTATAAATGCGCTTCTTGTGCGTTTTTGTTTATGATAGTATCTAATACATATAGTTATAAATTGAATAACTTTACTTGACTTTATAGTTATACTATTATTCATTTACCTATCGGTCATATAGAATTATATTTTTATTATATTTTTTGTTCTACTCGAATTATATTGGTATAAAAGTATCGTAAACAGGTTTATTTGAAACATATTATGAATAACAAAACAATATAATATAAGCTTTTATCATATCGTAATAAATTCATAGTATAATATAATTTGCGATTTATGTATATCGCATATTAATGCATCCACATAACTTCAACTTACTTAGCATTGCATAAAGGTATGTTGTTTATTGCTAACGCGTAATTTGCCTCGTTTATTCACGTGGCGCTTAAGTTGTGTGTGGTACAAGTTAGTGTAGAACGACAATATATGATATCTATTTTTGTTTATACTCTCTTTGTAAGGCTGGGTCGCAGGTTGTGTGGTGTGCGTGGAAGCAATTAATACGTGGAATGTAATTTTTCCACGCTTGTGCCACGACCAACTGATAAACCAGTTCGCTTCCAAGGCGACCTCGTTCGCTGCTCGCCCAATAATTAAAGCGACTTATTGGCTACTTGTTTCCATTTCTACAATGATATAGATTCTGATCGGTTAGCAGAGGCTTGATTAGTTTGTTTGGTTTTAGCGTAGATTAATATAACAATGCTACTTTATAAGCATAATAAGTGTGTAAGATAAATGTTATTATGATTTTAAATCTTAAGTACTCTTTACTCTTTAAACAAAAAAAAAATGATTTGAACTTTTAAGCCTATTTTAAAAAGATTTTTATTATTTACATTCAGTACTAGAGGCTCTTTATATAAACAATATTAAGGCACCATCATACGAATAGATGCATATGAGTAATAATAATACCTGTAGTCGATTCTAAAATACATTTAAGAACTTATTTAGTAAGTTATACAGAATTGTTAATTTTGTGTTTGAGTCAAATACAAAAGAAAGAGTTTTTGCGACGCTCAATCGAATTTATCTAGTATTCCAAAGCTGAGGGCACCACGGTGAACTGTATGAGATTGCGCAAGTTTATCAAGGGTCAGCAGTTAGAGCGCCTCTCTTTGTTATCTTTGTCGCTAACTATACATGATCTTTGAAAATAAGTTCAAAAATTCTTTAGCTTTCCACTTTTTTATGAACATTTTTTACTTGTTTGATAAATCATTTAAAATTGCTTCTATAAAATCATATATATCTCATTTATTGTAAAAAAGAATTGGATTCGTTCCCCCAGACACATCTCAATTGCGTTCAATTGATCACAGTGTGTACAAGACTGTCAACATTGTTAATAAAAATACCCTGTCGATTGTCGTACACATAGTTCTAGAGTTTATCAGAGACATAAATTAAATGCGTTTGAAATATCATAAGGATAAACATTAGCATAACACATTTACGATATATACATATGTATTAAAACATTTGCTTAAGGGATTTTTGTAGTTTGTAGAGATCAAATTATAACAATTTTCATATTCTTTTAGAAAGCAATATCGCGTTCTATTTAAAAAGTAATTTATAAAACTATAAATCGTTACAAACTTGAGAATTAACATAATAATTGTTGGATGAAATAATTATTGGCAATGAAAGCCGATTGTTTTCCAACCAATCGATTATTAATGGTGGTCGCCATTGCTGACTGCGTGCCACATGAAATTGTGTTTATTCAATTACAAGAGCTCATTCGGCATATATTTGTTTGTCAACTGTCTATATTTTGAACCTCCATTTTACAACGAGTATAATGTGTAACTTACGAATCACACGTAGAGCTAATGATAAAGCTTAGTTTTCCCACAACCTACCAAAATCTATATAAATATAGCTCTTTTAAAAATCAAGAGACGTACAATATAAAGGATAAAATATACGTTATTAAAAAACAACTTGTTTAATATCGTCGGCCTAATTCGGTAACGTGCTAAGTCTGTTTTTGAGCAATTTTAACTTTTTAAGCCTACGTTATGTTAATGGAATAGATATCAATATAAAAAGGAAATAATATAAAAATATCAAGGTATTTAAATATCAATAGTTATGGAAATCAACGGTATTTTCAAAATTTTGATTTCTAAAAATTTAATTTATATTTTTTCTTCACCTGTAAACTATACAGAGATATACTTAGCAGGTTAACGAATTAGGTCGACTACTCGTTTATCCAAAAACTAACAATACCTGTGTTTATGTGTATACGTACACCGCTAAGTCTGTATTTTCTGTATTTGTGTTGTTGACTTTTAATTCGGCTGATTTAATACATTACTTGTGAATTTGCTAGAAATTATTATATGAAATTTACCTTTGTCTCCGTTATCAGACTCGTATGTTATATTTAATTACTTTAAAATTTAGTCAATTCATATATGTGTTTCATAAGAATTGAACAATAAATTAGACGTACGCACCTGAAATTAAATAAATATTTACCAATACTTTATATAATCTGTGAGCAAAAACCGTATTTTTTATATTATAAGTATTTACAGTTCGTTTACATAGCAGATATAATTGTTTTAAAACATAACCATTTATCACACTGGTTTATCTGTTATTTTTGTTTGAATGTTTGCTACTGCAGCACTTAGGGGATGATTCTACATATTTAAATTTATTACAATACAAGAGTACTTTTATCTCATAAATATAAACTATTTAACTAAATTGAATTTAATAATAGCATATTTTGCTTTTATTTTAATACTAGAGGCTCGCCCTCGCTTCGTGTTGCCTCTAGGAAAACAAAAACAAACCTATCCCACGGAACCGTACATATTTCAATTCAATTCCAATTTCATCCTGATCCGTTCAGCCGCTCTGGCGTGAAAGAGTAACAAACGTCCATACTCACAAACTTTCACATTTATAATGTTAATACGCTTAATGAGTCGTCTATATTTTGTGTATTTATTACTATTATTAAAATACAGACATAAGAAAAATGGTCCAACAATGTTTTTTACGAATTTTTGAGAATCTTATATTCTTATGATTATAACAAAATCATATGCACATATAATAGTAACTAATTCGTATCTATTGTTAACAGAAAACATATTTCCAAACTGGTTGGAGGAAAAAGTGGAGCTCCCTGTGTTTGAGAACATCAGTCAAGTGCCCGACCGCGTAGAAGTACCACTAGTGCCTCTGCAGGTGCCTTCTGTGGCTTATCCGCCGCAGACGGTAGCGCAGCCGACCGAGGAGGAACTTTTGCGCGAATTCGAAAATGTTTACGACGCCGTCGAGTTGACTCACCTCACGCCGCCGCAGAGCCCCCCCGGACCGGCCACTCAACTCCTTCTGAGCTACGCCCAACACGCTCAGTGCGCGCCTCTCGCGCAATCTCTACAAATACAACAAGTAGAGCAGTGGCCAATCACTTCGGCGCCCGTGACGACGGACTACGATTACGACTCGCAGTCTCTCGAGGAGCTAATCCGCCACGGCGCCGCTCAGCTCGCTTCGCCTCAGCCCGGGAGCTCCTCCGCTTCGCCTCACTCGTCGCCCGCGTCCTCCCCTCGCTCGTCCAGCACCGACGAGGATTGGTGCATCCCGTCCCGCCCTAAGCCGTACTCCCGCAACGTCGACGACCGCCGTTCCCGCAAGAAGGAACAGAACAAAAACGCGGCCACTCGATACCGTCAGAAAAAGAAGGCGGAAATCGAAGTACTCCTCAACGAAGAGCAGGAGTTGCGCAAGCGACACACTGAACTCGGTGAGAAGTGCTCCGATGTCCAGCGCGAGATCAGATACATCAAGGGACTCATGCGCGACCTCTTTAAATTAAAAGGACTCATAAAATAGTACCAAGTTCTACAACTCAAGTGAAAAAATACCGGCATACGCCGCGGTCTAACGAAAACGTCCAAAGGGACGTTATGGAGTTAACTAAATTATGATGATATATTATTGATTTAATTTCTAGTTAAGCTAGATAAGTTGTTTGCATTAGATCTAACGTCGAGCAGCATTTGTCACTCACCCATTTATCGAGGGAATTTTAATATGTAACATCTTAATAAAATCATTGATGGCGCTAATTTCATCATTCATTTTACTTAATTTAGACGATAGGTTGCATTCATTGTTATGAAAACATGAACGTAAAAATTGTTATAAAACCACAGCAGCAAATACATTTTAAGGATTTATTATATCTACCACGACTCGATGGTTCTGGAGTTTCAAATTTTATGAATTTTACTGTTCTGCTTTCATACAATATAAGGAATGCGACGGCGGAATATTTTTGTTTTATTTTACCCACTTTACCTCTATTTCTCTACATTAAAGTTACTGAAGGTCTTACTGAAGAAACTTATAATTTACCTTCTATACATAATATCAAGATCAATACCTAGCGGATGGACATTCATTTCTTAGCGGATGTTACCGTTATAATTTTGTATGTAAAACAATATTTTTGGTGTTTAATATTAAAGAAGTAGCCTGGCAATACCAAAACAGGGTCCAAGATTAGCAAATTGTAATAGTAATTATTAGTGAATCTAATTGAAATAAATGAAAACTTATTTAGAACTTTAACAACTAGAGACTAGATAGATAATATATTCCATGAATGAGCACTATTTTGCAAGTTGTAAAAAAATATGTATATACATATTATATTTTATTATAGTATTAAGTATACATACATACTTCTTCTCCCTGCCCATTTCCCAATCACTTGGGGTCGGCGCAGTACATCCTCTGTACTGCTGAAAGGATTTGGCAAAAGTTTTACGACCGGCCGCCTGCCTGACGTCAACCCTCCTTGGGAATAAGTATACATACGTTTATGAATAATAATATGAAGGTGAAAAAAAAGTTCCGAGTCGCACACGAAGGGTACTGCCACAAATTAGTATTTGCATATTTCCTCATAGATCGATATCAAATATCAGTTGAGTGAGACCTTTTGCGCAATTTCGACTCGCACTTGGCTATTTATTATTTGTTTTACTTAGTTTATGAGATTATTTAAACACCAAAAATCAAAACATTTCCTAAATCGGTTCTCTATAGTTGATTTTCTCATTTTTAGGGAATCCCCCTTGATAACACATGTAATATGTTTTCTATGAAAATTTAACTGGCTTGTGGTTGGTCGCATTCCATCTGGACCATTTAGTTACGGAATCCTTAAATAATTTTTATATTTAATAAAAACTTTGAGCTGCAGCGTTATCAATAATAATAATAATAATCGATGTAAAATGATTTTAATATTATAATATACCATGACGAATACGAATATAGTTTCGATTGTACGAGTAGTATGACAAGAAAATCGAAAGTCGTTCGTTGTTACCCTTGTAATTGAGGTAATTACTTATTGCCAAGTACCGATATAGATAGGAACGCACGGCTTTGCACTTGCATTTAAAAGTATAAAATATAAATAAAATGCTTTCTCAATCGCATAAAATAAAATATCGGTCACTATGTAAGAATATATGATATAATACTTTAATAGAGTAGGTATAATATAAATAAAATAATGAAAACCTTTTTTTTATAAACCTATCATAAATAGATGCTTTAATACGACAACCAAATACGTTGGAATTACATTTGTAGGTATGTACAAATATGTATTATTTGCTTGGGAATTTATAATAGACACCTTTCGGCTTCATCTTTGAATTAGTTCTACGTAAGTAATGCATTTTCACAATCAATTGGTTGTAGGAACAGTTTTAAATTCAGTTGCATTATATCTATACATATTAACCGGAGTTAAAGTTAAAATAATTTTAAATCAAACATGATGTATGAATATATAATTTCTTAGCTAAATAATAATAAAATTTCGTTAGTTCGTCTATAATATGTGTTTAAAATTAAAACATTTGTTGGGAAAGGCATTTACGTTTACCACCTTTATACATACAGGTGGTTATATGGGACTCATCGGTTAATAAAGAGTAAAGATTGAAAACCGGTTAGTGAAGAAGAATGGGGCGTCGTAGGTTCGCTTACGCAGTAAACCATGATGGCCCGACGGCAGGCCTGCTGAACAGACCATACAACTAAGGGGTTGCTCTCTCGGTCCACTCTGAGTACCTATTAAATTTTTCTAGGAACTAGACAAAACACAAGCCAATGAATGCCTAAACAAATTGAAAGCAGAAGTGAACTCGAACGGAGAGAATGCTAGCGTGTGTGCTTAGAATGCTAGCAGCTTTAAGAAGTTGCAATGGAAAGAGAAAGAGAGTACGGTTATTGTACTAACCAACTATGAGCCTATGTTGCTCGCTAATAAAAGATTTTTTTTTTGCAGAAGTTGAGATCTACTGAAGCTCAATGTGGTGAGTAAGATATGAATTATGAATGTCACTATACAATATATTTTCTATGGTGGTATGCGGAACCAGGTCATCTGTTCCTACGTTCGAGTCCTGGTTCAGATTGTGAGGTCCTGGGTTCGGGTCCTACTTCGGTTAGAAAATATTTAAGGATATTTTAATGTAATTTTTATAAGCACTTTGGAATTTGGGAGGTTGATGGAAATGCAATCTTTAACCGCCCTATCTCTTTTCGGTCGTATAGGAATTTCTAAGGATTATAAGAGTGAATGGACTTAAGACCGCGTGTGTGCTGTGCTCCTACATAATAATGTTTCTCCGGTCAAATGGTCAGTTTTTGGTTTAGATGGCTATGATGGCTAATGAGTTCACTTTTAAAATCCCACTACTGTAGACAATAGGTCATTTTGCTAAGTGTGCGTTAGTGGATTTCACATTTTTCGAAAATTAGATGTTCTCTTATTACACCATAATTGCCTAGTTATAATCCCGGAAAATTGTCATCACATTTGTCACACTGAAACATTTGAAATGTGATTTATGAATTACGATGATGAGAACATGAGAAAAATTAATTAAAATGTAAGAGTAAACGTGTTTTTAAAAATTTCTAATTAAGTTTTTTTTATTCTAACTAGATGACCTCAACGCTCAATTCAGCGTTTACCATAAAAATTTCTTTATCATATTGATTTGAAGCTTGGCAAGTGCTTGTGTTTCCAATGATAGTAGCGACAGACACAGTGATTTGGTATCTTCGATCTGATGGTGAGTCCAGAAGGTGGTTAGTGGAACGGCTACTACCTAGTAGTACTAGGTTACATATACTTATATACGTACTATAAAACAAGTTTTTGGTATATGGTTACTAATAATAACTAATAATAATAATAACCCCTCCACGACCGCGGACACGCCGGCGTGTCAGTTAACAATAGATTTCTTAGAATTTTAATTAATTTCTTAGAAATTTACCTGGAGGTGTTAAAAATAATATAGACTGTTAGTTTTACAGATAAATAGAAAATTTTAACTCTTTGAATCGAGCCATTTCAATTCTGCTACACATCCACACTAAGTGTCGAGTAAGGGTGCTTGCATAGGTCAGACTTTTTGTAGAGCTGATCATCGGGCCGACTCAAATTCTACACATTTATATGAATGACTTGGTAGAACTTGTGCGTTTACCGTATGAAATTCTGTGTTTTATTTACACCAAGGAAATAGTCGGTTACCGATTGTCTGACGTGGATTGTCTTAGTAGGAAAAGATGTAACGTTTCAAGTTTTTGTGACATCAAGTAAATTCAATATAGCACGTCTTTAAAAGTCTCACTCAAAAAATTACGCTCAGGCAGAGATGAGCGGGTTTAAATATGTGGGGAACTTTTTTGCGCGGGGCCCGTAGCAATTGCTACTCTTGCTACGTGGTTATTCCGGCAATGCCTTCTTTGCTTTGGGTTACTTTGAGTTTGGGCTTACATCTTGGTTTCATTTGATAAGCCCAATACGTTAGAATTGGATTTTAGAGCCTGACTTTAGCGATTTTTGAAGTTATGGGTACTTCTTTTGGCGCATTAGGGAACAATGATGAGAGTGAATTTTTTACGGTGCTACAGATTTAGATTACAGTATAAAGTTAGTCGTTAAATCTCCCTTTAGTATAGTGTGAAGTGATCTCTATATTCAAAATATTTATTCCGGTATTCATATATAACCTGCACAACACGTTTTATATCGATGAGTTTTACCTGTCCCGGCCTTTGTAAATTTGACCCATTTTCCAGTGTCCGATTGAGTTGTGGCACACACTTTTTGTTCTTGTGGCTGCATGATTACTTACCTAAATGCCGCCATTTTTAATCCAATATGGCGGATGTTACAAAATGGCGATTTATCATTTCCATAGTGACCCTTATAATATGGGCATCAAATGTAAGGGCTTGATGAGCGAAACACACTAAGCAAATTGATGTCATTTGACGACACCTTTGGCTCTGCTTGTAGTGATCCTACTCACTGTGCCAGCGGTCGCGGGTTCGAGTCCCGCTGGGGGCATTCATTTGTGTGATGAGCACGAACAAATGTTTGTACTCCAGTCATGGCTGTTAATATTTATAATATGTGTGTATTTAAAGTTATATATGTGTAGTGTATCAACTATTTGGTATCCATAACACAGGCCTCGTAGCATACCATGGAATTATATGGCACCGTGTGTTAATGTCCCAAAATATTTATTATTTATATTTATTTATTGTAAATTCAATGTAGCAAACTCCAAAAGATGGCGGACTAGGTTTTTTTATGCACCCACATGTTATGGAAAAAACAAATACAAACACAAAGCAAACCCTTTCACATGATCAATATCAAGCTTTTATGTAAATGTTCTAAAAGTAAACAATTTGATGTCAATTGAGACATCTAACTACTAAGACTAGCAAACTAAAAAAAAACGTGTGTGTAATATGTATTTAATATTCAACATCAT